AATAATAATAATAATAATACAAAGACCTACAAATAGAAATAGAAAGACTGTGGCAAAAGCAAGCAAGGGTAGTACCAATAGTCATAGGCTCCTTGGGTGCAATCCCAAAACAACTGGAGCACCACTTGAACACCATTGGCATTGATAAATTTGCTATTAGTCAATTGCACAAGGTGGCCTAACTAGGAACTGCTTCCATCCTGCGACGATATCTGTAATACCATCAAACATCCACATCTGCCTATCCCAGGTCCTGGGTAAGGACTCGATAGGTAGACAAAATGCCAAATCCAGTCTGAACATCTGGCTGACTGTGCGATAATCCGTAATAATAATAATAATAGACATCTGCCTATCTCAGGTCCTGGGTAAGGATTCGATAGGTAGACAAAATGCCAAATCCAGTCTGAACATCTGGCTAACTGTGCAATGATCTATAATAATAATAATAATAATAGGGATCTTTGCCTACTGTACAACAAGTTTTGAGTGTTGGTTTACTTGTGCTCCCTTGGACATGAGTAAATTCCTCGCGGCTGTTGGAACCCCATTCACATGAGACGTTCTTTCCCTAAGCAAGTGAATATGACCAGACCCTCCCTTGGCACATGAGAAGGTGTATGTATACCTCTCACCATGGGCACATTTTACTGAAGCCAGAAGGCATCTAAAAAGTAAGTTCAGGTATTAGTGTGCTTGAATTTTCTTACAATCCCTTTTCCTACAGACAATCCTGTACTTACAACTAATTGCTTAGCAACCATTCAAAATTAAGACAGACCCTGAAAAAACTACTGAGAACCCGGGTTTGAAGTTTGGGGCCCTCGGCCACACATTTAAGACCGTTTGCAGCATCCACGTGACCATGATTTATGACCTTTCTGCCGGAAACCAGCATTTGCTTCCGGTTTCTGGCAAAAAGCATCCCTTTGCTTAATGACGGTCACATTCGTTTTACGACCAGCACCGCAAAAACTATTGCAAAATTAGGTGTAGCTGAATGGTGACCTGCTTCACAACTATTTCAACTTACAACCCAAATAGCAGGCTCAATTACAGTCATAAGCCGAGAGCACACCTTTGCTCTCTGGGATGTTTATTCTACCCTGGATCTGCTTTTATATATGTGCAGAGCCTTTATAAAATGTAAAATATTTTGCATGTTCAACCCCTTCTTCCTCATTTGCACAGGTCCAGGGAATATTCATATTCCCATAACTAGCTGCAATGTTTATCTTGCAGGAGGATATAATAATACTGCTTTTTAAAATAGAACAAGTTTGAAGTCACCCGTTAGGAATCTTACCAATACTCTTTGCTCTTAATTAAATATTAGGTATAATTAGCACAAAGAGGGAATGTGGGGAATATTAATTTGATAGTTGTGCAAAGGATGTCATTGTAAATGGGAAACAGTGGGGGTCTCTTTAGTACAAACTGCACCTAGATGTTAATTCCCTAAAAATGCTGACTTTCATTCCTTTTGTTCCACATATTTTACTTTTTTATCCAAGAAAGGTTAAAATACAAAACACCAAAATATTGTTTAAAAAGGACAAAAAAAGAAAAAAACACACAGCAAATAAAACATTGAAGAGGAAAAGGTGCCTTTAAAAAGGGACTAACACACATATACACATAATGTCCTCTCTAGCTGGATGCTGATTAATATAATATAATGATGTTAGTTATCCACCCCTTGAGAAACAGGCCAAAATTTCTTTAAACTACTAAGCTACTAAATCTATTTACAAATTGTTAGCGTGTCATCTATATACTATATTAATAACAAAATACTTAACAGGAAGAACAACAATTTTAGAAAAGTAATAAAATTGTTATCAATAATAAAAGAGAGACAAGATTGAAACTCCAAAACCCTCTGTTAACAAGCTATTATTGTCATCAACTCATAGAAAAGTTACCACAGCTTCTTAACTATCCCAAATCATCCCAGAAATTAACCCTGATTGGATCAAATATCCATATTTGTTTCATAATACCATCTCTTATCAATAGCTGATGGATTGAATACAATATGTCCAATTCTCCAAAGCCAATTTATCTTCCAAAAAAACCCAAAAAACCACCAGATGGAATTTATTCCCCAGTTAAATATGATAAGTCCATTCCACACTCTCCTTCAAATCTCCTTTGTCAATTCCTTATTTCCCGATTGTCTTGGTCCTGTTTCCCAGAAATGGTCATCAATTTTTGACACAACTGGAAAATTGTCAGTTGCCTCAGATTTTGTCTACTTCAGTGTTTCTTAATCTTTGTCCATTTTAAGATGAGTAGACTTCAACTCCAACTGGCTGTGGAATTTTGGGAGTTGAAGTCCACCCATCTTAAAGTGGCCAAGATTGAAAAACACTTGTCTACTGGATTGCAACAAATATTCATTCCCATTTTATTTAACTGTAGCAGGGTCCTTGGGACTGTAAATCAAAGGAGATTAACTGGGGGTGGGTCGGGACAGTGGGACCGTGTAAATTTTTCTGCATTTCATGGTCACTCTCACAAAAAGCTGCCATGGAGATAGTTTGCAGCTTCAAAAAAGAGCTTCCTGGATGGGCATAGCTGTTGAAAAAATACTTTTGTGCTAATTAATATTATAGGATTTACACCAAATCATTTACATAGTTCCGAATAATTTACATAGTGCAGCCAAGGCGATGTGGCTAAATATAACATTGGTTTTATTGTAATTTCTTTGTTTGATTGTTTTGAGCCACTGAGAGTCGTTTTAAATTGGGCAACATACAAGATTAATAAATGATTATAGTTGGTCGCGCGGTCTGCCAAATGATCCGATTGGATTTGGCATTTTTTGTCTGCTTATGGAATTCCTCCCAAGAACTTTGGGTAGGCAGATGTTGTTGTTTAGTCATATTAAATTATTATTATCACTATACAGTTGACCCTGTTGGATTATAATTTGCTTGATATGGATTGCTGCTAGCATCAAGTTTAGGACTGACTTTGTTTTTTGAATAACCCAAACTGCTTGTCTTTTAAATGAAGCTTTTATTTTTAAAGTGCCTTGTACTTAAAATTATTGTTTTATACTTGGAAAAAAGTCTAGTAGCCCCTTTGCCATTAGCAAATTAACATCTCCCTTCATCAGATGCATAGAGAGGTTAAACACTCTTGCAGCATGCTGTCTAGTGTTTAGAATGCAGTACCACGGACTAACTCACTGCTCACTCCAGGAGTTCAATCCTGGCCAGCTCAAGGTTGACTCAGCCTTCCATCCTTCCGAGGTTGGTAAAATGAGGACCCAGACTGTTGGGGGCAATAGGCTGACTCTGTAAACCACTTAGAGAGGATTGTAAAGCACTGTGAAGCGGTATATAAGTCTAAGTGCTATTGCTATTGTTCTCCTCAAGCTGGCAAGGCGAGAAACGCTGAGCTAGATTATGCTGGATTTAAATTTTTGCATAAGAACATATCGTTTCAAACATAATGTCTATCTAAAATTCTCTTTTCCCATCTCAACCTGTTTTTTTGCCTGGAGAGGTTATGTGAGAATCAGAAGTGTTCTTTATATATAAAGATACTAATGCTGGGATTTTCTTTTATAACATATGTCTGGATAGAATAGAATAGAATAGAATAGAATAGAATAGAATAGAATAGAATAGAAGAGAATAGAAGAGAATAGAAGAGAGATAGATAACTATATCCATCCATCCATCCATCCACCCATCCATTGATTCTATCTCTCTCTCTCTCTCTCTATCTATCTATCATCTATCTAGCTATCATCTATCTATTCAGCTTGCTATCGTCAATCCATCCATCCATCCTATCTATCTATTGTCCTATCAATCTATCATCTGCCCATTATTCCATCCATCCGTCCATCCATCCATCCACAATAAAGACTTCCATTGATTCAAGGACCCTGGCAAACTTCATCAATCAAAAGGACAATTTTGCTTTCATATTTGAAATCCCACTTTAGGGACCATTTAAATAGAAATTCAGATTCGTTTTTTTTTTTTTTTTAGGTGATGCATTGATGGAAATTTTAGTCAACTTGAACCTGGGCATAAGTTAGGTGATTAGCTTGTATTTTGCATACAAGTTGTTGAAAATAAACCTGGTTTCACACAGGGGAGGGTTTGAATTATATTATTATCTAAGTAATAATGATAAATAATAGTATGGCAAGAAACCAGGAAGTCTTGTTCCTTTGGAAATATTCATGGTTTAAAGACACCTTTAAAAATCCAATTCATTTTCAAATATTGTATAATTGCTATAGAGTCTTCATTCACTGATAGTTTTGCAGTATAGATCATTGTTTTTCCTGCTAATGTTTAAATATTCCACAATGTGTGTTCTTAATGTTCAGCTGTTACTAGATATATGTTGGACTAAAAAAAGGGAGAAAAAGTAAAATCTAAAAATCAAATTATTTGGCTTCCATTTCATAGGAAGACATATTCCTGTGGTTTTAAAAAGGGGATTCTATAAAGAAATATATAAATATTCTGTCTGGTTGTTATATTTCTGCTTTGTTTGTCACACACACTACAAGCTTCAAGATTTTACTGATAATTTCAAAATCAGTCTTTATGCAACTAACTGCAATCTTAGAGAATTGGCAGCAAACTTGACTTCGGGCTGTTCCGTAAACCCCACCTTTATCACACACAGAGAGAGGGACACAATTTTGCTCATCAGACAATTGCAGCCATGGGTTGTTGGACATTATTGGAATGATGTTATTTTACTGCTGGATCAGGCTGAGGAACAGAAACCAAAGATGCTGCGTTAAAAAGTTGTGTGATCCCCAGGAAATCTTATTTGTGAGTAAAACCAGTGGCAGCTTAGCTCCTTCCTGCAGATGGATGACTAATAGACCTTCTACTGAGGTCCCAGCAGGACGAGCAGCTGGATGGAAATGTGATGAAGCACCTTCAAAGACGCATTAATCTTTGCAAAGCCAAATCCCGCTCAAATTTCTCTCCTGTTGCTTAATGTTTCTGCAGGGTAATCAGGAAGCTACTGCACCCCCTGACACCATGGCCCAGCCTTACGCCTCCGCGCAATTTGCTCCTCCTCAGAACGGTATTCCAGGAGACTACACCGGCCCTCATCCTCACCCGACCCCCGACTACTCCGGGCAAACCACGGTTGCAGAGCACACGTTAAACCTGTACCCGCCTGCGCAGACGCACTCCGAACCAAACACAAGTGACACAAATGCACAAACTGTCTCAGGCACAGCCACCGTAAGTAGGTTTTTTCGTTTTATTTTTCCAAACCTTCTCCTTTAAAATACACTATTCGTTTTCCAAAAGCCGCAGCAGGCCGAGAGTCCTGGTGTTCACGTATGAACCTAAATGGAATGGCTTGACCTTCGTAGCAGAAACAAATATTTCTTGAATTTTTACTCTGAGATTTGGTTTGGGGTAAATTGCAACTGCTCTCCACATCCTTCCTGGGTGTGACCCTTAACAGCACGGATTTCAGCAGAAAGGATTTTGATAAGACAGATGTTTTACCGGGGCCTGATTGTCTTCTGCTGTATTTAATGAAGGAATGAATTTCATTTGAACTGGTGTTTAAGCCAGTTAATTATATTTTGAAGAGATGAGAAATAGATGCATTGATGAACAGAATCCTAGTTTGTGTGGCTGCAGGGGGTGTACCTGGGAGTGGGTGGTCAAAAAAACCCTCAAGTTGGTGCTCATATATGTCAAAAGGATAAGGCTGTGATTGTGTCATCAAAGCACTACTTGGATTCTATGGCTGTGAAGCATTTTGGATTGAAGAGGGCAGTGCTTGCATAGGGGCATATATCATCAACATCTTAAGTCTTAACATCTTTTAGGATTGTGGGTTTCCTGTCTAAATCTTATGTCAAGTTTACTTCACACTTATGCTGTACTTCTGTAAATTGCTCTCCATAGCGTGGTAGGAAAGTGTCCTCGTGTGTGGGAAGCATATAGCTATATTGATTGCCATAGTTAGAGGTTTCTATCTATTTACCTCTAGTCTTTTAAGACAGGCTGCCCAATTAGTGATTGTTTGAAGTTTGAAGCCCACCTCCCCAAAAAAAGATACTTACAACCCAGATTCAAAGTTTTGAGATCCTTCCCAGTCATGTGATCACATTTTGGGCATTCTGCAACCAATCCACATTTACAGCTGTTTGCAGCATCCCACAGTCATTTAACCAAAATTTATGGTGTGTGTTTTTCTTTTTGTTTTGCTGGAAACTGGTTTTTACTTCTGGTTTCCACCAAAAAAAAAAAAAAAAAGTCCATTGCAAACAATGGGCTTAATTCACAACTGCAACATGGCTGCCACCCAAAATGTCGTAAAATTATGTCAGTTGCATGATGACTTGCTTAACGACCCATACAATTTAGGATTCTGGGCTCAATTACAGTTGTAAGTCAAGGACTATCTAGTGCTCAGCTTTCTTAAAGAAGGAATAAGATGGGAAGTTCATTTTTTTTAAAAAAAAAAAAAGACTCTCCTTGAGTATATCAACAGACATGTAGAAACCATTCATCCAGCAAAGAAGTCTACAGAGGAAGGTGTAACTGTAAAATTCTTGATTTTTAAACAATGTATACTCTATGTAGGCATCAGAGCCAAGCTGGCACAGGTTCTGAATCAAGCAGAAGCAGGTTCCTACTGTGTCACATTTTTCTTTAAAAAACAAAACAAAACAGAATACTGAATAATAGAGTTGGAAGGGACCTTGGAGGTCTTCTAGTCCAACCCCCTGCTCAAGCGGGAGACCCTATACCATTTCAGACAAATGGCTGTCCAGTCTCTGTTTAAAAGCCTCCAGTGATGGAGCACCCAGAACTTCTAAAGGCAAGCTGACCCTCTCTTTAATTGTTCTCACTGCCAGGACATTTCTCCTTAGTTCTAGGTTGCTTCTCTCTTTGATTAGGTTCCATCTGTTGCTTCTTGTTCTGCCTTCTGGTGCTTTGGAGAATAGCTTGACTCCCTCTTCCTTGTGGCAACCCCTGAGATATTGGAACGCTGCTATCATGTCCCCCCTCGTCCTTCTCTTCATTAAACTAGACATGCCCAATTCTAGCAACCGTTCCTTATATGTTTTAGCCTCCAGTCCCCTAATCACCTTTGTTGCTCTTCTCTGCATTCTGCACAGGAAAAACCAGTTCTGATCATACAGTACAAATATGTCTCAATCTATCCCCATTTTTCACAATATCTACCTATAGGTAGGTGCTTGCTTCCTTATTAATGTTTTACATTTAAATATTTGCCTTGCCCCAAGAGCTCAAGACAGTACATTTTCCTTGCATCCCATTTTATAGCTACCAGAATTATGCAGTAGATTAGGGGAAGGAATTTGGATCCACCCAAATCCCTGGCCAAGGCTTCTTGGGAGCTGAAGACATTTTCTGAGACACACAAATTTAACATGAATATGAATGTATACATATACATCTGGGCTTACATACAAACACATACATGCAATATAGTATAATGAGAGTTCACTCATTTAGGTTTGAAATTTGAAGTATCTATGGCACTTAGACTCTTACTACCAGTTTTCTCTCCTGTTGGCTTATGTATTCATTTCTTTCTTCATCACATTTCTCTTGGGTCAGAGAATTTAGATCTCCATGGAAAATAGGGATTCTGCTGAAAATTATGAAGCTCTGCTTGAGTCCTAAGGTATTATGCATGAACCAACTTGGCATTAAGTAGCTTCTTAAATTTCTATGTTCCTAACTCCATTTTCCTTTTCAGTTCATGTGCAAAATGATTAAGGTGGCTTAGAAAACAAAGCCCAATAAAAAAAGCCATTACATTTTATAATGTAACAAACCATAAACCTGAGTGAAGCAATAGATTACCGCGAAGGCAGCAAAGTAAGCAAAAGGCAGGATGAAATTATGATAAAATCCACCTAACACAAAACAAACTTTCAGGAGCGGCTGGGAAAGAACAGCCTCATTATTCAATTAAAAGTAAGTTAAATCTCATTTGCTTTTGACTCCTGATAACTTCATAGAGACATATGGGGTTTAACCTACCCACAAGTACAGAATTGGCTTGCTATTGCTGTCTTTTGATTTATGAGTTCCTTTTAGTTGGATGTGTATCCCTTTTAGCTGTCCTCATCCCTGTTGTGGATTATTCTTAGCTTAGACTCCACCTTTGACCTTCTCAGCTGGACAGAAGCTTCTGAGAGGTCATGTGCCTTCCAACATCACCCTCATTGTCCCTGAAGCTACCAAGCCCTTCCACCATGTCATCATGGTAATTCCCTGTGAGAGCTTATGTGTCATGATATCATTATCTTAATCATCATCAAACCCCAACAATTGGGAACGGCACACAAGAAACAGCATCAAAACCCTTGTGGGGTGATCATAGTTAGCTTCACAAATGGGTCACATCAAATTCTCTGGCGTGGAAAGAATGAGTGATGTTTGTTCTGTCCTCAGCTGACTTGCTGAGTAGACTGGAGATGGTTTTAAAAAAATCAACTCTGCTGAAAATTGTTGTCTTTTGGCAAATATAACAGTAGTGCAGTTGCCACTGTCGAGTTGGCTTGCCAAATATCTTTCCTACAAAGACAAAAAAAAAAAAAAATATCTGTTGTGCAGATGGTCACTCAAAATTTGATCTATAGTTGTAGAACAGGAAGGCTGCATTTAGGCTAATATTTCTCAATCTCAGCAACTTTAAGATTTATGGAACTTCAGCTCCCAGAATTCTGCAGACCCATGGTTGACTTATGGATATAGACCATGAAGTCCACTTCCTGTTTACTGCAGGAATCCAGATTAAATCATAGTGATCAGACAGCTGATCATAGTAGAGGATCTATGTAGGTCAGAATTGGTGTTCTTTGATCTTGGTTGTTTTCCTGCAGACTTTTCATGACCAGGTTGGTAACATCATTGGTGCAAAGGAGACTACTGAAAGCTTCATAGAGCACTAAAACTTTATTCTTTCCTGTATTCATTTATTCATTAGACTTTTATGCTGCCCATCTTGCCTAGAGGGGACCCTGGGTAGCTTACAAACAGTAGTAAAAGCCAATAGACCATTAAAACAAAAAAGCCAGTAAAATATTTAAACAATAAACAATAACAATAATGAACATCTGGCAGTATGGCAAGCCATAATAATATAGAATTAAAAGATAAGGAGGAAGGAAGGAAGCAACTAGGCATTATATTGTTACTTAACCTGATCATGAAAAGTCTGCAGGAAAAGAAGTCTAACACATGGCTTAACCCAAACCCTAACCCAACTCCTAACTCTAACCCTAACCCAACCCCTAACTCTAACCCTATCCCAACCCCTAATTCTAACCCTAACCCAACCCCTAACTCTAACTCTAACCCTACCCCTAATTCTAACTGTAACCCTATCCCAATCCCTAACTCTAACCTAATCCCTAACCTTAACCCAACCCCTAACTCTAACCCAACCCTTAACTCTAACTCTAACCTTAACCCAACCCCTAACCCTAACCCAACACCTAACTCTAACCCTAACCTTAACCCAACCAAACTCAGAAAACACTAAGAATCTAATAAAGGGGTGTCAAACTGTTGGCCCACGGGCTGGACACATCATGTAGAAGCCGCACCCACTCCATTGCCGGCAATGGCAAAACATCCCAATACGTTGCGCGACATCACGTGACTTCGCGAGTTTGACATGTCTGATCTAATAGATTACAAATTTCAGCTAGTCCTTGCACAACCGTAGAGAGTGACTTTGACAAAAATAAGCAAGAATCATTACCTAGGGAAAGAAGGTTGAAACCTTCTATAGAGATTTGGGAAGCAGGGCAAATAATTAAACATTTCAGGCAAACCCTTCCCTAATTCACTGTGGTATAAGAAAGTGGGGGGGGGGTGGATAAAGTTTATGCCACAATTATTTTTGTTAGGTGTTATTGTAGATCTTGATGTTAAAGAAATTAATTTGATGTTGAATCTTATAACAGCTGCAAGATTATTGGTGGGGCAATATTGGAAGAAGGATTCTTTGCCTTCTTTGGAAGAATGGATACTCAAGGTGTCCAATCTAGCAGAAATGGTAAAAATTTCCGTTTATTTGAAGGACTATTCACAAGAAAGATATATTTCAGCTTGGAGAAGATGGATAGATTATATTCAGAAGAAATATGAGACTAAAAAGTATTATTTAGCTTATGAGTAAATTTTAGATTATTATTAATAGTTTAATATGGTTGAATTTATATTATTTTTAGTAT